GCTGTCCCTCAGCTCTTCAGCTCAAGGTGAGCGCTCTACCACTTGAGCTACAGCGCCACTTCCGGTTTTCTGGTGGTTTATTGGAGATAGGAGTGTCACGGTTTCTCCTGCCCGGGCTGGCTTTGAACCGCGATCCTTAGATCTCAGCCTCCGGAGTAGCTAGGATTACAGGCGTGAGCCACCAGCGCCTGGCTGCCCCTCCTGTTTTTTGAGAACGGATCTTTGTATATAGCTGGCACTGGCCTCAAACTCATACTTCCTGTCTCCACCTCCTAAGTGCTTGGTCATAAGTATGAACTACCATATCTAGTTAAAATGAGAAATTTAGAATAACGCTTCAAAACTTATCATAGAAAATAACAACTTATTCAGAAAATCAATTTTTCCTAACATTATGTGGAAATTAAAATACTTACTCCACAGTATTCAAGCATATGAATTATTTCTTCTTCATAAACTGTCTGAGTATAATATTGCTTCTCCAGCTCCCTCCAATTAATTGATTTACTCAATACACCCTAAAATAAGAAACTAAGTTAGGATCAAATTATACTATTTTTTAATCCAATACTTTTTCTTAAATTATCAAGTAAAAGTTAATCACAGACTGATTTTGCCTATCCATAGAAAAGCCTGCTTGTAAAATTTACCCTCTGTTACAGTCTGGGAACTTGACTTAGAAACAGTTCTTACTCTAATACACACTTTCCTTGAATGATAAAGGCAAGCCATTATGCCTGTGCTCTCTGTATAAGCAATGTAGTTTTTGCTTAACACTATACTTCCTCTGCAATTTTAGTATATGCTAGGCAAATCACTGACTTCAGATTAAAAACCTTGTTATGCTAGGCTCATGCGATGAACACACAATTTTTCACAACCTATTGCTGGAAGAATTAAGCACAAACTGAGATTCCACTGGACCGCTCAGAAGCTTGTACTGGGTTGTTTTTTAATTTTTAATTGTGGCTGTGTGCGCGCGTGCACACAGGTCTTGTGGGCCTGAACTCAGGCCTTGGCACTGTCCCTGAGCTGTTTTGCTCAAGGATGGTGCTCTACCACTTGAGCCACAGCTTCACTTTTTTCTACTAAGTTTTGCTTCAAGAATGTTTTCCCTTTCTTGATTATGTATGTGTCCTATCCTTCTAACATAATCCTAACTACAAATATATGATGAGACATGCACCAGTGGCTCACACCTGTAATCCTAGCTACTCAGGAGGCTGTGATCTGAGGATCTCAGTTGAAAGCCAGCCCAAGCAGGAAAAGTCTGTGAGACTCTTTATCTCCAATAAACCACCAGAAAAATCAGAAGTGGCACTATGGTTCAAGTGGTAGAGCACTGGCCTTGAGCTGAAGAGTTCAGGGACAGCGCCTAGGCCCAGAGTTTAAACCCCACAACTGACCAAAATAAATAAATAAAATCATATATTTGAGTTTTTATTCATTCGAAGTGAATTGCCAAACCTAAGGGTAACTTTGGGTGATTCTCAAGGCAATTATCTTTAATTACATATTTATTGCTATTTACACTTTAATTGCAACTCAATTACCGTAGTGAAGACCCCAGAGGCCGTGGACCAAGACAGACAAGGAACCAATGGCATGGGCTTAGGCCAGCTGGATACTGCTAAGGAGGCCATCTGTAACGGAACAGAGAGCTTCAGTGTGAAGTTCCCATTATTCAAATGAACAACATTTAATACTCAAAAGTACTTTCTATACAGCAATTGGTGAGAGACTGACTACATAAACATGAAATCTGAAAATACCTGTGACCTTATGATACGTAAATTCAAAATAACAATTTCTCCTTTGAAAGTTACAAAATATGATCGAAATTTATTGAAAGTGTCAGAAATGATTTTAGTATAGCAGAGTAAAGTAGGGAGAAATGGAAGAAAGAAGTATTTCCTAATTGCAATGTAGGAAATAGGAGTTAAAGACTACTATTTTTTGCTGGGCACCAGTGGCTCACGTCTATAATCCTAGCTACTCAGGAAACTGAGATATGAGGATCACAGTGTGAAGCCAGCCTGGACAGGAAAATCAATGAGACTCTTATCTCCAATGAACTACCAAAAAGTTGGAAGTAGAAATGTGGCTCAAGTGGTAGAGCACTTGACTTGAGCAAAATGCTGCTTAGGGACAGCACCCAGGTCCTGAGTTCAGGTTACCCTCAAAGTTGTAATCTTCCTGCCTCAGCCTCCCAAATACTGTGGCATGTGCCATGATACGTGGCTGAGTGATTTTCTAAGCTTAATTTTATAATTCAAATGATCTATAAAAAAACTTCATTTTAGGGCTGGGAAGGTGGCTCAGTGGTAGAGTGCTTGCCTTGCATGCATGAGGCCCTGGGTTCAATTCCTCAGCACCACATAAGCAGGAAAAAAAAAGCCAGAACTGGTGCTGTGGCTCAAGTGGTAGAGCACTAGCCTTGAGCTGAAGAGCTGAGGGACAGCGCCCAGGCCCAGAGTTCAGGCCCCACGACCAGACCCCAAAAAACCAAAAAACAAACAAAAAAAACTTTAAGTTATTTAATTTCATAAACTCAGTGACCAATATGTGCCATATAATGAACCAATCATACATATTCCTGGCCCTCATCAAACCAACAGCTTCATGTAGAAAAAAGACTGTTAAGTAGTTATAGTACAATGAAAAGTCCTAATGAAGCATAGACTGCAGGTAATACTGGAGGTCAGAAAGCTATCGTGGATGGGAGCTATAGCAAAAGGGCAGCTATTGTTTGAACGTAAAAGCTCACAGACAGTGCCTAGGCCTGAGTTCAATGCCCCACGACAGGCACCGGAAAAAAAAAAAAAGAAAAATAGAAAAGAAAAAGAAACAAAAAACCATCAGAGGCAGAGAAACCAATTACGAGTCCATTTTAGTACATTATATAAGACAGACAAAAGTAAAATAGAATTATATATATGTATATAGGTAGGTAGGTTGTTTTTGTTGGTGATAGGGCTTGAACTCAGGGTTTGGGGGTTGTCCTGAGTTCTTTTTGCTCAAGCTAGTGCTCTACCACTCTGGAAGCCACAGCTCCACTTCTAGTTTTCTGGAGAGATGAGTCTCACAGACTTTTCCTGCCTGGGCTGGCTTTGAACCTCAATCGTTAGATCTCTCCTCTTGAGTAGCAGGGTTACATGCATAAGCCCTAGCAACCAGCAAAAGAGGTGTTATAAACATATATACCATTATACATGTATGAAAATGTCAAAATGAGACCCATTAACCCAATTAATGCATAATTTAAATGGTAGCTAAAATTTAGCAACCTTAGCCAATTTAATAGCAGAAGTGGGCAAGTATAACTTGACACATGAAAAGTTAAAATTATATAATAACTTTTTAATAAAATATTAAATACAAACATCTGAACTATAACTGGGTATAAGGGGTTACACAATAAATACTTATATAAATCATACAAAAGTATCATTACTTCATCGTCGGAATTATTTCTGCTTCCTATTTTCAAAAAAACTAAAGTCAATATAACTAAAGTGAATTGTTTTTTTTTTGGTTGGTCATGGGGCTTGAACTCTGGGCCTGAGCGCTGTCCCTCAGCTCTTCAGCTCAAGGCAAGCACTCTTACCACTTGAGCTACAGCAACACTTCCAGTTTTCTGGTGGTTTATTGGAGATAAGAGTTTCACGGACTTTCCTGCCTGGGCTGGCTTTGAACTGCAATCCTCAAATCTCAGCCTCCTGAGTAGCTAGGATTATAGGCATGAGCCACCAGCGCCCAGCTCTAAAGTGAATTTTTAAAATAACTCACTTCCCTAGATCTTACTAAGATAATGAAATGTAAGTAGTAATGAGAAGGCTTACGTGTCCTCCCATGGATATGCCGGTCATCCCAAGAGGGCCATAGCCTTCCCTCTCTAACCAATGCAAGAGAGCAGCAGATTCTAAAACAAGAGCTCCTCCCATCACGAAAAGGTCAGACACATTTTTTAAACTGGATCTCCTAGCCTCAGAAAACAAACAGAGAATGATTTATTCCATGCATTTACATTTTAACACCTATATTTGTTTCAACATTACATTTACAGCAGACAGCTACATTTCTTTTAAAGGATCAGAATGGAATTAGAGTGCTTCTAACGTTTTTGTGTGTTTCTTCCCCCTCTCCCCCCTCCTTTGGTTGTCCTGTGGCTTGAACTCTGGGCCTGGGAGCTGTCCCTGTTCTCTTCAGCTCAAGGCAAGCACTCTATCACTTGAGCCACAGAGCTACTTCTGGTTTTCTGGTGGCTAAATGGAGACAGAGAGTTTCATGGACTTTCCTGCCCGGGCTGGCTTTGAACTGTGATCCTTAGATCTCAGCTTCCTGAGTAGCTAGGATTACAGTTTTTGCTACCAGCGTCCAGCAACCTTTTTTTTGTTTTTGATCGGTTATGGGGCTTGAACTCTGGGCTTAGCTGAATGCTCTACCGCTCGAGCCACAGCGCCACTTCTGGTTTTCTAGTGGTTTATTGGAGATAAGAGTTTCATGGACTTTCCTGCCTGGGCTGGCTTTAACCGTGATCCTCAGATCTCACTCAGCCTCCTGAGTAGCTAGGATTACAGGCATGAGCCACTGGCACCTGGCCTAACATTATTTTTTAACATTTTATTTATTTAATTTATTTTGTGGTCCCGTCGTGGGGCCTGAACTCTGGGCCTTGGGACTGTCCCTCAGCTCTTCAGCTCAACCACTTGAGCCACAGCACCACTTCGGCTTTTTTCTTTTTGCTTATCTGGTGCTGAGGAATTGAACCCAGAGCCTCATGCATGCAAGGCAAGCGCTCTACCACTGAGCCACCTTCCCAGCCCCTAATTTTTATTTTTTAGTTATTTATTTTTGGCCTTTCCTGGGGCTTGACCTCAGGGCCTGGGCACTGTCCCTGAGCTTCTTTTGCTCAAAGCTAGCACTCTACCACTTGAGATACAGCACCACTTCTGGCCTTTTCTATTTATGTGGTACTAAGGAATTGAACCCATGGCTTCATACATGCTAGGCAAGCACTCTATCACTAAGCCACATTCCCAGTCCCTTCAAAAGACTCTTATCCCCAATTAACCAGCCAGCAAAAAGCTGAAAGTGAAGGAGTGGTTCAAGTGGTAAACTACCAGCCTTGAGTGAAAAGAAGTTAAGCAAGAGCACTTGGCCTAGAGTTCAAGCCCTCGTATCAAGATAAAACAAAACAAAAATAAAACTCCATCATCAGGCCACTCATCTTGAAATCCCCCAGACATTTCCCACAGCAATTTTAGTAAAACTACCCACCTCTCTGACCTCTTCCGGTACTTCTATCCCCCACCTGGTGTTTACCTTTCCTGCCTGGGCTGGCTTCCCAGGGCGACCCACAGATCTCAGCGTCCTGAGTAGCTGGGATTACAAGTGTGGCTCACCAGCTTCTGGCTTCCCTTGTCATTTTCTTTCTTTGCTTGCTTCCTTTCTTTCTCATTACCTCCTTCCCTTCCTTCCTTGCTGTAGGTATCTCTCCCGCCCCCTCCCACTGGCTCTCCTTTGGTAGAGGTACTGGTATCTGAACTTTGGACTCAGGGCCTCTTGCTGTCATGTAGCTTTTTCAGTCAAGTATGGCACGCCACTAATTAAGCCACATCTCCCTCCAGTTCCAGCTTTTTGCCAGTTAATTGGAGGTAAAAGTCTCTCAGATTTGTCTGCTTGTGCTGGCTTTGAACCTCTCAGCCTCTGAATAAGTAGGATTACAGACACGAGCCACTGGCACCTGGCTTTTATTGTGGCTGTATTACTTATTTCTAGTCTAGTTTATCATTTTAAAAGACCAGAAAAATACAGTTAATCTTCAGATTTTTATACTATGTTTTACTGTGCTTTACAAAAACTAAAAAGTAAAGGAAATGTACTTTTTCCTTTTTAGACATGGTCTCTCTATGCAGCCCAGGCTGGCCGCCTCTTAACTCTTGATCCTTCTATCTCTACTTCCTGAGTGCTATGAGCCACCATACCCAGCAGTAAATGTACTTTAAAAAGAATAGTAAGTCAGCCTATTAATGTTTCTCTTCCTTTTCTTTCCCTGCCTTCCTTCCTTCATTGATTGATTGACTGTCAGTTCTGGGCCTGAACTCTGGGTCTGGGCGCTGTTCCTCTACCACTTGAGCCACAGCGCCACTTCTGGTTTTCTGGTGGTTAATTGGAGGTAAGAGACTCATGGACTTTCCTTGCCCCAGCTGGCTTTGAACCATGATCCTCAGATCTCAGTTTCCTGAGTAGCTAGGATTATAGGCATGAGCCACTGGCACCTGACTCCTCCTTTTATTTTGGTGCCAGTATTGGGCTTCAACTGAGGTTCTTGAACTTGGGCCACACCTCCAGTTTCACTTGTTTTCTGGCTAACTAGAAATAGGAGTCATTTGGATTTGTCTGCCCAGGCTATCTCCAAACCTGTGACCTCAGCCTCCTGAATAGCTAGGATTATAGATATGAGCCAATGGAGCATGCCTTAGAACTTTCTTACTATATCATCTTGCAGACATAACCTTAAAGTAAGAAGTCAATACTTCTTGCTATAGTTTTACTGTTCCCCTCCCATAATACATGGATATTAGAACTCAGTATAGTTAACTAAAGGCTACCAAAATTTTTAATATTGCTGAAAATATGATACAAAGATTGAAAAAAGGAAGGTAATATGCACTTACACTTGGTCCTTGGGTTTTCTGCAGCCATTTAAAATTGTGGGTCAAAGAGAAAGTTTTAAAATAATTAAACATACTTTTGTCACAAAACATTAACATAAGCAAAGCAGTTACATTTAGACACAATACTGAAAAAACTTTCAGTTACCTAAATAGGCTACTTAGAACTTCTCAGGTTTACATAGCTTTATTGAGATATACAATCCTATAGCAAGTAATACACCAATCTGAAGTATAAAACTTAATGTACTAAGTATATTCAAAGAGTTGTATTCATTTTCAATTTAAAATTTTTATTCATATAGTTTATGCAATTATGTTTATTAAAGGAGGAAATAAAGAAAATTAGAAAACTATTTTATATACAACAATATTCATACATTTGTGTATTTCTCCCCAGTATTTCCCTTGTGCGCAAGTTTTGTTTTCAATTGCTGCATACTTACACCAGGCACTATGGTCTGACTTTGTTTTTGGTGCTAGGGACTAAAACCACTGGCTGCTGCCTGCGTGGCCTGTTTGCCCATGGCCGTGGTGCTGTAACATCTGAGTGACCTTTTGTATGCTAAGCACACATGCTACCACCGACACCATACAGTTTTATATCCTGCTTTTAAATCATACTTTTCACACATTGCAACTTTTTAAATAGCTACATAAACTCCCTGAATGTCTAATTTTACTAAGACTTATTCTAGATAGTATTTAATGTTCTGAATAACTTAAGAGATGATTCTCTTTTATCAATGAGAAAACAGGTACAGAAATGGTAAATAACAGGTCTGAGAGATCACAAAAGTGGTCAGAAATAGAGTAATAAACATAATAAATACAATTCCAGTGTTAGGAACTAGTTTACTAAATTATTCTCTATTATGTAATTATTTCTTTTTTGTTTTTTTGGTCTGGTCGTGGGGCCTGAACTCTGGGCCTGGACGCTGTCCCTTCCTTAGCTCTTCAACTCAAGGCTACTGCTCTACCACTTGAGCCACAGCAACACTTCCGTTTTTTTCTTTTTTGCTTATGTGGTGCTGAGGAATCGAACCCATGGCCTCATGCATGCAAGGCAAGCGCTCTACCACTGAGCCATCTTCCCAGCCCATGTAATTATTTCTTAATATCTTATTTGTACATAGGGCTATTTAAATATATTTTCCCATCATTTTCTTTTTTCTTAGTATTTTATACTCAGACTGACATTTCCAGAATCAAAATCACTCTCAAGGCATGTAAATAGTATTCCCTTTTTTTCTCCAGGGCATACTTTTACCACTGAGCCATACTCCAGCCTAGAAATGAGGCATCTTAGAGCTCCCAAGTGGTAAAAATGCTTTAATAAAGAGCAGCCCAATTTTCAGATGTTAGTATTGACTGTGCTCAATTCAGTTGTGTCTCCCAAGCACTGTACTTTTAAAATCATTGGTAACTGCAATTTTAACTTTACATTTAATTAATTATTGTCAGTCTTGGGTCTTGAACTCAGAGCCTAGGCACTGTCCCTAACCTTCTTTTGCTCTAGGATAGGGCTATACCACTTGAGCAACAGCAACAGCACCACTTCCGCCTTTTTCTGTTTATGTGGTGCTGAGGAATCAAACCCAGGGCTTCATTTGAAGCATGCTAGGCAAGCACTCTACCACTAAGCCACATTCCCAGCTTTACATTTCTTTTATTACCAGCAATGTTGAACATTTCTTTATAGCTGTGCATCAGTTTCTGTTCTTCAGTGAATAGTCTGACGTCATCTTGAAGATTAGTTAAGTACTGTTCTAAACCTCCACCTTTTTGCACATGGACTTAAAACACGAGTTTCTTTGCTAACAAACACTATTAAAATTAACATCCATAAGTATCTGAAGAAAAAAATAAATGCATCTTTATTATGAACAATTAAAGTCTAGTCCTTAGTTTGTTTTCCCTAAATAAGGTGTCACTGTGCACTGTGCAGCCTGGGCTGGCTCAAACATAAATACATACATACATACATACATACATTCATACATACATAATCATTGTGCTCCAGCCTGCTGAGCAGATGGGATTACAGGAATGAGCTCCCACATCAGACTCCTTCCCCTGAATTTGAAGAGATGTAAAATAACCTTATATTCCTTTTTGTTCTTCTTAAATATTTTCTGCACTAATTACTGAATTTAACTAGTTTGGAAAAGTTGGTTATTACATGTCATTGCTATTGAAAAGTTTCTTAGTGTCACAAAAGGATATAGTACGGGTTTTCTAACAACAAAGAAGCTATTCGGGCTTCTTTAATCATAGGACGGGCCATTAGTGTCCGTCTCCTCCAGTAATGCTATGGAAAGAAAAAGATAACATACTTTAAATAGCACAAATCACCACATATGTTAAGGAGAATACTTAACAAATTATTTGGGGATTGCAATATAAAAGTTAAGCCTTACATGGTCTCCTGTTCCAGCAAGATGAATACATACAGGTCTGTGTTTGCTGTTCCATTCTTTAGGTACAATAAATTGAAACCTATTTTTAAAATGAAATTCTCTTTAAAATAAAGCCAGCTCAAAAACCCATGGGACTCTTATCTCTAATTAACCACCCAAACCTGAAAGTGTAAGTGTGGCTCAAATGGTAGAGTGCCAGCTTTAAGGCTCAAGATATTCCTGCCTCGGTCTCCTGAGAGCAGATATTATAGGTGTATACCATCATGTCCAGCTTCAAATCTTAAAATGTTTGAAGTTATTTCCAAGAAAAGGGTCGTACAGAGGCTGGGAATGTGGCTTAGTGGTAGAGGGCTTGCCTAGCATGCATCATGCCTAGGTTCCATTCCTCAGTACCACATAAACAGAAAAACCTAGAAGTGGTACTGTGGTTCAAGTGGTAGAGTGCAAGCCTTGAGCAAAAGACGCTCAAGGACAGAACCCAGACCCTGAGTTCAAGTCCCAGGACTGGCAAAAAAAAAAAAAAGTATCATGTAGAATTTTAACAGTTAATTTGTGATTGATTAAACTAAAACCTACAAAGTAAATGTGCTTACTATGAGTATGTTAAATATTCAATTCAACATTAATACATAATTTTTTACCTAGTTTAATGTCAAAACTTTATAAATGTTTAATTTTTTTTTTTAGTTGGTTCTGGGGCTTGAACTCAGGGCCTGGGAGCTGTCCCTGAGCTCTTCAGCTCAAGGCTAGCACCCTACCACTTGAACCACTGCACCACGTCCATTTTTTGGTGGTTAACTGGAGATAAGAGTCTCACAGACTTTCCTGCCTGCACTGGCTTTGACCCCTATCCTCAGATCTCAGTCTCCTGAGTAGCTAGGATTACAAGCATGAGCACCAGGCACCCAGCTTGATGAATTTTTAATAAGCTTAAAGACATAGATCTGCTGTTTCTCTTCATAGGAAAAATGTTTTGCTATACAAGCTGTTGAAGTAACTACAAAATAATATATTTCTATTTCTACCCTTGTAGTATATGATAGAATCTGATTCATTAAAATTCTGGTACTGGGAGATAAAGTGAATCCATGCCAGAAAAAAGTAAGCAGTTTTCTCTACTTGTCATCTTCTCTTTTCTTCTCTATATGTGGTACTGGGCTTGAACTTAAGGACTCAGGCTCCTGCTTGACTTTTTCAGTCACAACTGGCACTCTACCGCTTGAGTGCTCTCCTGACTTTTGGCTGGTTAATGGGAAATAAGAATCTGGGAGATTTGTATGCCAGGTCTGGCTTCAATCCTGATTGTCATTACTCAGCCTCCTGAGTAGCTAGGATTATAGGTATAAGCCACTTGTGCCAGGCTCTCTTTCTCTTATTTAATGTATTTTCCTGTATGACTTTTATGACAAAAGTTAGCATTTTTACCATTTAGTGTACAATATAGTGGTATTCAGTGCATGTATTTTGTTGTCCAGCTATCACTACCTATCCATCTTCAACATTTTTTCATCTTCCTAAATGGATTCTTTTTTGCCAGTACTAGGGCTTGAACTCAGAGTCTTTTACTTATTCAGCTTATTTGTTTGTTTGGTGTTCTACCTCTTCTGGCCACACCTCCAGCCTGGCTTTTTCCTGGGTATTTTGGGGATGGAATCTCATAGGCTTTTCTGCCCAGGCTAGCTTTGAATTGAGATCTAGGGCTCTGAGCTTTCTGAGTATGTTACAACATGATCTGGCTAACAGATTTCTTTCTCTTTTTAATTTCCTTAGCAGTTGACACGTAAGAATTTCTATCACAGCCAGGCGCTGGTGGCTCTGTAATTCTAGCTACCTAGGAAGCTGAGATCTCAGGATTGCAGTTTGAAGCCAGCTTGGGTAGTAAAACCATGAGACTCGTATCTACAAAAAATGGCTACCAAAAAACTGAAATGATGCTGTGGCTCAAGTGGTAGAGTGCTAGCCTTGAGCAAAAACACTCAGGGACAGCCCCAGACCCTGACTTCAAGCCCCAGGGCTGACAAAATAAAAACAAAAAAACATTAAAGGAAAAACAACATATTAAAATTAGCAAATGTTTATCATCAGTAATATATATGGGAAGAAACAGTAACTTGTTTTTTTTTTTACTTCTGCAGATACTGGAACTTAGACTCCAGGTCTGGGCACTGTCCCTAAGCTTTGTTTCTCAAGGCCAGCACAGCACCACTTGAGCTACTGACTCACTCTGGCTTTTTGCTGGTTAATTAAAGATAAGAATCTCATGGCTGCCGGGCATTGGTGGCTCAGGCTTGTCATCCTAGCTACTCAGAAGGCTGAGATCTGAGGATCATGGTTCAAAGCCAGCTCTGGCAGGAAAGTCTATGAGACTCTCATCTCCAATAAACCACAAGAAAACTAGAAGTGGAGCTGTGGCTCAAGTGGTAGAGCGCTAAAGCTAAAGAGATGAGGGACAGTGCCCAGGCCCCATGATCAAAAAAAAAAGAAAAGAAGAAAGAAAGAAATTGAAATCGGGAGAGAACCTGTTTTCAACATTGACTTAAACTTAAAACAATTTAGCTGGGCACTGGTATAATCCTAGCATCTCGGGAAACTAAGATCTGAGGACTATGGTTTGAAGCCAGCTCATGCAACAAAGTTTGTGAAACTTTTTTCTCCAATTAATCGACAAAAAGCCAAAAAGTAGAGCTGAGGCTCAAGTGGCAGAGCATCAGCCTTGAGCCAGAAAGCTCTGGGACAGCACCCAGGTCCTGAGTTCAAGCCTCAGGAAAACATACACATATACACACTTACTAATTTAACTTTCTAGACAAACATTCTTACCTTGCAATAACAGATTCAATTGGCATGATGCCAGGCACATAGTGGGCCATGGGAGAAACAAAGTGTCCATCTAAAATCTTACAGTCTGATTGTTCCTCCATCTAAAACAAAGAAAGCCATGCAATTAGACGGATATACTTTGGTTTATCATAGAACTTTTTCTAAAAAAAAAATTTTTTTTAGGCTAAAATTTTATTTATTTATTCATTTTGCCAGTGTGAAGGCTTAAACTCAAGGCCTTCCTATCAAGATTGAGTTTTTGCTCAAGGATGGCAATCTATCACTTTAGGTATACATCTATTTTAAAAATTTTTTCCCCAAAATCTATTTTCAGTACATACGATGGTTTCCTTTTAGTCTAACTTGCTTTCAAAAGACATTGCTTCTACATACATGCTTTATATTTTCCTTACACACTTTTTTTTTTTGTCAGTCATGGGACTTCAACTCTGGGCCTGGGCGCTGTTCCTGTGCTCTTCAGCTCAAGGCTAGCACTCTACCACTTGAGCCACAGTGTCACTTCCAGTTTTCTGGTGGTTAATTGTAGATAAGAGTCCTGTCCTGGCTGGCTTTGAACCGCGACCCTCAAATCTCAGCCTCCTGAATGAGCCACTGGTTTGCCTGGCTTCCTTACACACTCTTAACTACAGTCTAGTTTGGAAAATAAACAATAACTCAAATTCATACATTGACAGCTAATAGCACAAGATAAAATACTAGTTAAGAGAACTTAATAGCATTAAAAATATAAAAATAATCCTAAGAATGATTTATAATTGCAATCATAATTGGCACATGCAAGTAAGACTTGATATCAAGTATGTTACAGTGGTTGAACGTTGGGCAATGTATTGATGTAATGTCTTATTGTCAACAAATTAAGGAAAAACATGATTTCTATGTATTAAAAAGGCAATTTGTAGCTTTATGTGGTATATGGTTTTGAAAGCCCAGATGTTGCAAGTTTAAACAGGAAGATAATGAGTTAGAGACCACACTGGGTTATGGTGAGATGTTACCTCAAAAAGAGAGGAAAAACTAACCAATAAAACAATACTAAAAGCAGGGCTGGAAAAAAGTGGCTCAGTGGTAGAGCGCTTGCCTTGCATGCCTGAGGCCCTGGGTTCGATTCCTCAGCACCACATAAGCAAAAAGAAAAAGCTGGAAAGTGGCGCTGTGGCTCAAGTGGTAGAGCGCTAGCCTTGAGCTGAAGAGCTGAGGGACAATGCCCAGACCCAGAGTTCAGGCCCCATGACCGGACCCAAAAAAAAAACAAACTAAAAGCAATGGAACAAATAAGCACCAACAACCACAAAAAATAAACAGCAGGGTGCTGATGCCTCATGCCTGTAATCCTACTCAGGAGGTTGAGATCTGAAGATTGTGTTTTGAAGCCAGCTGGGGCAGAGAAGTTCTTGTGAGACTCTTATCTTCAATAACTGCTCAAGTGGTAGAGCACTAGCCTTGAGCACATAAAGGGTCCAGGACCCTTGTTCTAGCACCCAGCCCCTTGTTCTAGTCCCACAACCACCACCAACAACAACCCTAGATTTAAGGATAGAAGCCACTCTGGGCAAGAAAGTCCATTAGACGCTTATCTTCAATTAAACAATCAAATGCCAGAAGTGAAGCTGTGGCTCAAGTGGTAGGTACAATAGAACACTATCCATGAGCAAAAAAGCTCAGGGACAGAACCCAGGCCCTGAGTTCAAGCCTCAGAACTGGCACAAAAGAAAAAAAAAAGGTAAATTTAGATATGTAAATGGTATTTTTTTGTTTTTATTGAAGATACTAAGGCTTGAGTTTCACAGATTTGTCTCCCAGGCTGGCTTTGAACTGTGATCCTCAGATATCACCCCTGAGTAACTAAGAATACATGCCAGAGCCACTGGTCCCCTGCTTTGATATCTAAGTTCAGTTTTTTGTTTTTAAGCCAGAAGAGGCACCTATAAGATGTACTGAGTCGCCATGGCACCCTGAACATGCCTGATCTCATCTGATCTCAGAAGAATCAACAGCACGCCCTGAAAGAACAGGAATTAATAGCAAAAAGTGACAGAGACTAAAGGAGAGTTTTGATTTTTATTTGTTACGGTTTCACTTTAAACGTTTATAATATTTTAGTTAAGAAAAAAAAGGAAAGGGAAAGGAAAACAAAAAAATAGAAATATTTACCAAAATTAGAATAAAGGAAAAATATTTGAAATACAGATGATACAGAAACAAAAGTTTTGATATAGAATTTTCAAGGATAATATTTTAGTATTAGTATGCAAATATTTTTTTTTTTCTTGTCAGTAGTGGGTCTTGAACTCTGGGCCTGGGTGTTGTCCTTGTTCTCTTCAGCTCAAGGCGAGTGCTCTACTGCTTGGGCCACAATACCACTTCTGGTTTTCTAGTGGTTTATTGAAGATAAGAGTCTCAAGGACTTTCCTGCCTAGGCTGGGGTCTGGGTTTGAACTGTGATCCTCAGATCTCAGCCTCCTGAGTAGCTAGGATTACAGGTGTGAGCCACTGGTGCCCAGCTAGTATGCAGTCTTTTGAAAAACAAAACCTTCTAAAGCTATTTGATAAATAAGACATGCAAGTAGTTACTGTGGTTACAGGTCAGTGAGGGATGTATGAAGTCCAGCCATTTGCGTGGCTTCCAACGGTGTTACCAAAGATCCAGTTACAGAAAACCATAGATTACAGAAAAAAGCTGGTTGCTTATGAAATAATATGAAAAAGTCTCATCTCTATATGTAATTTTATAGCATTCTGTTCCTACCATTCTCTCAGCAATTAACTATTTCATAATACTTTTTCCCTGCTTTTTTTTGCCTTGAAAATAATTCCTATGTGCCAACTCATCAACTAGATACATCGTTCCCCTGCAATATTTCAATACTTACTATTCCTTCCTTAATATTCTTCTCTAATATTGAATAATTTACTTTAACCCTCTTGAGCCTATGGACACAAAATGAGACTAAGAAAGATCCAGCCTAATATATATATATATATATTCAGTTATTAAAAATATCTAGGTGCTGGGTGAGAGTGGTTCATGCCTGTAATCCCACCTACTCAAGAGGCTAAAATCTGAGGATCACAAGTTGAAGCCAAAGCTGGCAGAAAAGACCATAAGACTCTTATCTCCAAGTAACCAATAAAATGTTGGAAGTACAGCTGTGGTTCTAGTGCCAGTGCTCTCCTTGAGCAAAAAATCTCAGAGACAGTGCCCAGACTTTGAGTTCAAGTCCCAAACCTGGCACACATACATACAAAAATATCTGGTTAGGGTACAAATAGCATTCTTTAAATACTAAATGAAAAACATCCAGTGCACTAGTGTCTTGGGGGTTACTGTTATTATACTTTGACATTCAATCTATTCCTGGCATATATCTATGTTAAACCAAAATTTCTACACATGCATTTTTTCATTTGAATACCTTATCAATGTATACTGGATAATCGCTTGAAACCAGATTCTGGCATCTTTCTCGATTTCCAATTATCTTTCTGAATTCAAAGAGTCTATTATAGAAAAGAGACGAAGGGGGAAAAATTCACTTTTATACCACTCATTTTACTGAATGTATAGACTGATAGTGACAAAAATGAACAAACACAGTTTATGAGCCATATTAAAGCTTAATTATCATCATTAAAGAGTAGGCTACTAAGATTGTTTTTCAAACTAAACACTAATCTTAGAAAAATAAGATATGATATTGTCCAACAGTAATTAGCACATTTTAGATGAAATTCAAAGGAACTAGTCCTGAAAATTAATTTTTTTTCCCATGAGCTATAGAACATTCCAGTTTTACAGTCATTACACATAAAAGGTACTGCAGAAAAGTCAGTACTTAGAAACAATGTACAATTCTAGTTAGTTAAATAATGATGAATTTGCTGGGTGCATGGCTCACGTGCCCAGGCCTGACCAAAAGAAAAAAATGATGAATTTAAAAATCCAGTTTGTGTATATTTTAAATCACTGTCCTTTTTAATAGCCCATCTTATGGTACTAGAATCAAAAAGAAAAAAAGAAAGAAGGAATCATATTTTTTACATAGTTCAATGCTTAATTTCCTGAACAATCATTTTTTACTTAAGGATAAAGGATTCTGTACCTAAATTAAAATCTAAAATGTTTACTAAAGCAATAAATTCAAAACAAGTATTCAAGTAAAAAAATTACCTTTTGAGATCCTCTGGCCTTCCCCATCCTCTGATAAAAAGTTTTGTGAGGAGAAGTCTACGGTATAGAACATCTAACTTGCTTACACCCATCAGTAGCAAATACCATCTGGAAGAAGAACTTTAAATGATTTAAAATGTATTTGTTCAATAAAGGCAGCAGGTCAACTTTCTAACCACCTCTAAATATCAGATAAATTAAAAGATTGAGAGTAAATACTTGAATTTATTCTCTGAAAACAACATACAGAATTTAGCAAAAAAACAAATTGGGATGAAAAAGAAAAGAAAATGAAGAGCCTCAGATTGCAGTGAACTGAGCAGAGCATCATCTTTCCATTCTCAGTATAAGCACCTACAATCTGTTGGACAATATAAAGGGGTAACACTATGTGGTAACACTAACTGACACTTACCTAGTGCCTTATAGTGCCAGCCAGGCACTATTTTAAAAAGCTGTAACACTCTCTCTCTCTCCTCTCTCTCTCTCTCTTTCTCATTTAGACCTACCAACAATCCTGAGAAAGATGTAGTGCCCCAGTTGTACAGAAGAGGAACTTGAGATAGAGACATAGGTGATTCACCCAAGTCCATATCAGTAGTATGAAACAGACCTAGACTAATTCTAGGCACAGAGCTCTAGATTCTCTATACAACTCTGGCTCTATAACAGTGAATAGAAAGCAAAAGCAGTGCTGCTATTTGTATACCATTTATCTTTTTTGTTTGTTTTGTTTTTGCCAGTCCTGGGCTTGAACTCAGGGTCAGGGCATTGTCCCTGAGCTTGTTTTCACTCAAGGCCAGTACCCTACCACTTGAGCCACAGTGCTACCTCTGGCTTTTTCTGTGTATGTGGTACTGAGGAATGGAGCCCAGGGCTTCATGCATGCTAGGCAAGCACTCTACCACTAAGCCACCTTCCCAGTCCAAGGTGGTTACTCTTACAGGAGGAGCTTCAATACCTATGCGCATCTGATCATACAAAATAATAATAGAAAGTAACTCCAGAAAATGGGAACAAAAGGTTTTATCTTTGTTGTTTTCTTTTTCTTTTAGTATAGAACACTGCACAAATTTACTTGTCATCCTTGCACAGGGGCCATGCTAATCTTCTCTGTATCATTCCAATTTAGTATATGTGCTGCCGAAGTGAGCACTTCTTTTTCTTTTTGCCTTGTCTGTTCGTTTATCTGTCTTTAGGGAATAATGGAGGGCACAGAAATGGAAGAACATCCAGTACTAGTGGCTTATGCCTGTCATCCTAGCTACTCAGGAGGCTGAGATTTGAGGATCGTGGTTCAAAGCCAGCCTAGGCAGGAAAGTCCGTGAGGCTCTTATCTCCACTTAGCTACCAGAAAACTGGACATGGCATTGTGGCTCAAATGGTAGTGCACTGGCCTAGCGCTGAAGAGCTCAGGGACAGTGCCCAGGCTCAGAGTTCAAACCCCATGACCAACCAAAAAAATAAATAAATGGTACCACATAGTAACCCCCCAGTTACTCAGGAGAGTACATAGGAGGATTACAATCCAGGCAAAAAGTGAGACTCTATTAGAAAAATAAGCAAAAAGAAACAAAACAGGGGGCTGGGAAGGTGGCTCAGTCATAGAGTGTTTGCCTCACATGCGTGAGGCCCTGGATTCGATTCCTCAGTACCACATAAGCAGAAAAAAAGCCGGAAGTGGCTTTTTGGCTGTAGCTCAACTGGTAGGGCGTTAGCCTTGAGCTGAAGAGCTGAGTGATAGTGCCCAGGCCCAGAGTTTAGCCCCACAGCTGACAAAAAAAGAAACAAAACAACAGGAAGTATGGCTCAGACCATATAGATCAAAAAGCTAGAAGTAACTATGGCTGAAATAAGAAAGTGTTAGTATTGAGCACAAAAGCTCAGGGATAGTGCCCAGGCTCTGCATTCAATCCCTAGGACTGGTACCAAACAAACAGACCTGAACTCTGGACCAAAAAAAAAAAAAAAAAAAAAACCAAACTGTGTACACCCTATTCAACAGTAACCTTCCCTTATCCACTACCACGTGAGCCACACCCTACAGGGAGAGCCCTTTAGTAAGAGACTGTAGGAAGGGGCCTGTGCAGCTCCACACTGCTGATCTCAGAGGTATCTCCTCATTTGGCTGTTTCTGAATTGTACCCTTTATAATATATGATAGTGATTTTAAGTACTGTGCATAGATTCCCTCAACTCTATGAGTCTTCTAGCAAATTACTGACCCACTCGGGATTTAAAAACCTTTAAATTTGAGGTTAAAGCTACTCAGAAGTTACCATTCTAGAGGCATGGAGACTCCGGAGTGACTGGGACCTGAGGTAGTGGCATCAAGAGGACTGTACCTTGAACTTGGGATTCTGCAGTGACTTGAGGTGGCTATCAGACTGAAATACATCCAGCTGGGGTGGAAATGGTTAGTTCATTCTTTGACAAAATTCTGACTAGTGTTATGTATTCCAAACAAGAAACCCGCTCTTTAAATATATATGGGTGATACTGGGATACTCCACCCTTTCCAGGGGTTAGAGGTAAAAAAACTTCCTCTGGGGCTGGGAAGGTGGCTCAGTGGTAGAGCGCTTGCCCTGCATGCCTGAGGCCCTGGGTTCGATTCCTCAGCACCACATAAGCAAAAAGAAAAAAGCCAGAAGTGGCGCTGTGGCTCAAGTGGTAGAGCGCTAACTTTGAGCTGAAAAGCTGAGGGACAGCGCCCAGGCCCAGGGTTCAAGCCCCACGACCGGATCCAAATAAATAAATAAATTTGGGTGAATGAAGAGGCAGCATAAGGTAATGAATGGTAATTATTAGTTTGAATCTGAAATGTCCTTCCAATGGGCTTAAAGGCTTGGTGGCTAGCCCCTGGAGCTTGTAGGCCATTGAACAATCATCGGGAGGTAGAGTCTAGTAGTGGCAGAGACAGGACATGCCCTGGAAGAAGGGGATACTGGGATCCTATACCCCACCCTTTCCAGGGGATAGAAGGTAAAAAGACTTTCTCTGGGGCTGGGAAGGTGGCTCAGTGGTAGAGCGCTTGCCCTGCATGCATAAGGCCCTGGGTTCGATTCCTCAGCACCACATAAGCAAAAGAAAAAAAAAAAGAAAAAAGCCGGAAGTGGTGTTGTAGCTCAAGTGGTAGAGCCCTAGCCTTGAGCTGAAGAGCTGAGGGACAGCGCCCAGGCCCAGAGTTCAGGCCCCATGACTGGACACCCCCCCCCCAAAAAAAAAAAGATTTTCTCTGTCACATACTTCCAGTCAGGATATTCAGGCTTACCTGACTGCCAAAACAAAGTGGTCAAAAGAGCATGGATTAAAACCTCTGAGGGGCTGGGAAGGTGGCTTACTGGTAGTGCTTGCCTAGCATGCACAAAGCCCTAGGTTCAATTCCTTAGCACCACATAAACAGAAAAGGCTGGAAGTGGTGCTGTGGCTCAAGTGGTAGGTAGAGTGCTAGCCTTGAGCAAGAAGCTCAGGGACAGTGCTCAGGGCCCTAGTTAAAGCCCCAGGACTGGCAAAACAAACAAACAAACAAAAAAACAAAACTAAAACAACAACAACAAAAACCCTCTGAAATTGTGAGCCAGTACAAACCTTTACTTAAGTCAGTTTTCTTGAGTATTTTGATATCACTAAGAAACAGAAGAATGATTATTTTGCTTTTTGTTTTGGTTGGTTGTGGGTCTTGAACTCAGGACCTGGGTGCTGTCCCTGAGCTCTTTCACTCAAGGTCACTTTGAATCACAGCACTACTTCTGGTTTTCTGGTGGCTAATTGGCTAAGAGTCTCATGGACTTTTCTGCCCAGGTTGTCTTTGAACTGCCATCCTCAAGATCTCAGCCTCCTGAGTAGCTAGGATTACAGGCGTGAGCCGACGGCACCCGGTTTAAGGAACTTTTTTTTTTTTTTTTTTT